TAAAAAATAAAATGTAACCTTTAAATTAAGAGAAGAGATTGGATTTATACCCCACCCTTCACTACCCAAAGGAGTCGCAGAGTGGTTTATAATCTCCTTTCTCTTCCCCTCCCCACAACAAACACCCTGTGAGGTAGGTGGGGCTGAGAAAACTCTTTTGAGAACTGCCTTGAGAGAACAGCTCTGAAAGAATTTGTTACTGACCCAAGGTCACACCAGCAGCTGAATGTGAAGGAGTTGGGAAACAAACCCTGTTCTCTCAGAGTAGAGTCTGCACCTCTAACCACTACACCAAACAGCATGGGGATGCTAGAAAAACCAATGTTCTACCTATTTATTTCATTTATAACTATCCTTTCTCCACAATGGGGGCCCCAAAGCAGCTTACATCGTCTCTTCTCCATGTTATCCTCACAACAACCCTGTGAGGTAGGTGACTGGACCAAGGTCACCCCACAAGTTTCCACAGCAGAACGGGGATGCAAACCTGGGTCTCCCAGATCCTAGACCAGCGACCCCTACACTACAATGGTTCTCTCTCGGAAGGAAATGGTGGGCAAAGATTTTCATGGGACTAAAGGTCTTCTAAGAGATGTTTTACAGAAAGGGAAATGATAGAGGTGGACAGCTGCCAGGAATGCAAGCACACAGATTTATGCCAGTGCACAAAACCATTGTGCGGGGTGCTCCTATCTATATTTATGACATATTGTGAGATCTCATGTGTGCCATTTCCTCATAAAAGTCTCACAACAATCATAATTTGGGCTGTGGAAACTTTACAGACTGCCAGTATAAGTGTCAATAATCAGCAATGTTAGAACCATGCTTTTTCAGCCAGGCAAATGGGCTTTTTTATATTGGCTCTCTGTTAATCTCTCGCTCAGAATTTTGATGTTGTTCGGTTCTTTTATAAGCTTCCCAGATGCCCCGGCCTCTTCCAGTTGTACCCATTAGTGATGTTACAACACATCAGGAATTCTCCAAGTCTCTAAGTTTTTTACCATAGAGATTTGGGAATTCCTAGAGCATCATGATGTCACTTCAAGTCACAAACAGAAGTGATGTTGTGAGACTGTGCAATGCTGCCCCTGCCCCCATTTTTGCCCTCACTGAAGAAACCCACTGGGAACTCTACTCTTCAACTATAAAAGTGTGCTGACTCCTGTTCTGAATCATGGTTAAGGGACCAAGAGTCCATTCTGTGTGGGGGAGAGCTACCTCCATCTCTCCTTTCTCAAGTGAGTTTCCCCTCCCTGCCTCCAACGGTTTGCTTTAACCAGGGGCAATAATATCTTAATCACAGTTAAGTATGATTAATTTTAACCAGGTAAGTGAAAGGAAATTTTCATGATTAGGCAGTCAAGAGTTATTATATCTCAGAGATCTACTGAACTCACCGGAAGAAGTGAGCAGTGACTCACGAAAGCTCATATCCTGCCAAATATTTTGTTAGTCTTTAAGGTGCTACTGGACTCTTGCTCTTTTCTACTGA